TATTAGATCTACATGATATAATTATGCACAGCATAAAAAATGGAAGGATAACACATTGTATAAAGTCAGATATGACGTCAATAAACCAAATGACGTCATAAAAATAACTTCTACACATAATAGAATTCAACTGATTATTTTGATAGAAATAATATATTATTTTATCTCATGCTAAAGTAAAATAATGCAGGGTTAATCATTCAAATGTTTTGTAATAAATTACTTAGGCCTACCAACCTTAGTTATTACATTCCTGCGCATTTGAACTCAGAAGGCGCATTATCCTACAACAAATCACTTATTTCCTAAATTTATTTAATTGTTTTTTTTAAGTAAAATATGAAACATATTTTCAAGAATCATGTCTGCCATATGCACTTTAACAATAATTTTAAAACAAGCTCAAACAATTATTAGTATCCTTAGATCTACATTATAACATGAATGATATGAAGTAACATAACAGATAAGAAATATTAATGAATAAATGTCAATTATACACCATTAATATATTTTGTGTCTGCTTAATCATCAGTCATTCTACAAGTGATAAGACACAAGTGATTATTTTTATCTCCATTAGGAAGATTTTGTCTTAAGTGTAAAGTTAGGACTATTCCTAAGTACAAGAGTTAGGATAGTTTCTTGAAACGCTCCTAAGTGCAATCTTATTCCAGTCCTAACTTTAGTCTTATGTTTTAGACTTACGATTCTTTATGAAACGCACCCCAGGTTTTTGATCCGAGATAATCCATGTTCTAACTAATCCAAACAATTACATGTACCTAGATAAGCATCATGACCAAGTTTGATGTAGATCGAGAAAAAAATGTGGCCACTAAAATGTTAATATTGTTTTTCTTTTTTTAGCTTCTGTGACCTAGTTTTTAATCTGAGATGACACATGTTCAAACTCATCCGAGCAATGACCTAGACAAGCATCCTGACAAAGATTGATGATGATCGAGTAAACAATGTGACCGCTAGAGTATTAACAATGTTTTTTCTATTTTTAGCTCCTGTGACCTAGCTTTTCATCCGTGATAATCCATGTTCAAACTCATCCGAGCTATTACCTAGGCAAGCATCCTGACTAAGTTTGATGATGATTGATGGAAAAATGTGATCGCTAGAGTGTTAAAAAGGTTTGTCTATTTTTTAGCTCCTGTGACCTAGTTTTTTAACCGAGATGACCCATGTTCGAACTCGTTCGAGCTATTACCTAGAAAAGCAACCTGACCAGGCTTGATGATGATTGAGTCAAAAATGTGACCGCTAGAGCGTAAACATTTCTTTTTAATTTTAGCTCCAGTGAACTACTTCTTCATCCGAGATGACCCATGTTCAAACTCATCTTAGCTAATACCTAGACAAGCATCCTGACCAAGTTTGATGATGATCGACTCAAAAATGTGACCGCTAGAGTGTTAAAAAGGTTTGTCTATTTTTAGCTCCTGTGACCTAGTTTATCATCCGAAATGACCCATGTTCGAACTCATCCGAGCAATTACCTAGAAGCATATTGACCAAGTTTGATGATGATTGAGGCACAATTGTGACCACTAGTGTGTTAGCAAGTTTTTTCTATTTTTAGCTCCTGTGACCTAGTTCTTCATCCGATATGACCAATGTTCGAATTCATGTGAGCTTTTACTTAGGTAAGCTACCTAACAAAGTTTGATGATGATTGAGGCAAAAATGTGACCGCTAGGGTGTAAACGATAAAAGTGTGGACAGACGACGGCGACAACAGACAACAGACGATGGACAACAGACATTCAACGATCCTAAAAGCTCACCTTGAGTTAGCTCAGGTGAGCTAAATATATGAAAAACATGATCAATAAGGATGGCGGCGTTCAATGAACGCAATCCCGACACTACCCAGCAACACAAGATGAGCATCGTTAAGAAGCAAAGCAGGACACTAAACAATCTTCTCCTTCTTCATCCAAGTGCTGAAGCATTAATACACGGGACATCGCTATAAAGCCCGAAAGAGTTCTAGTAATTTGAGTTGGTCATCCAGGAATTGATTCACAGTCCAAAGCTTACCTGCCCTAAGGTCTGTTGAATAACCCCAACGCTACCCTAACGGACATCTTAGGAAATAAAGTGCAAGGTACTGCGTCCATCCGGGTCCCGGTCAATTACCTTCCAAGATGCATTCGGTGACCCCTCAGATACCGCTCGGAAACTGGATGAATATTTGGCGCCCAGGAGATCAAAATCTTAACCGTAATGTAACCGATGACAAAAGGTGTCCTACCGGGTAGGGTAGTTTTCCGTGACTGCTAAGGTGAGCTGGCGATGTACCGGATTGCGGAAGAAATTACATATGCACTAAATTTCGCCAATAACCGTACGGTGCCCCCTCGGTCACTTGACACTGGAGGGTCACCGGCCGAAGACCTTCAAAATAATTGACAATTTCAGCCCGTTCAGACATCGGTACCCCATCGTAAACCTAATCGTAGTGTAATGTGCCACATGCTTTAAGCAAGATAAATACAGTTATTTTACAGTTGTGGAAGACAAGGAGATAATACCAAATACGATTACTAATTTGTTACACGGTATATGGTTCGGACTGTTGACTATATATAGTGTGCTCGTGATTTCTCCTGTTGTTGATCGTTTGATAGGAAACCTTTAAAAGGCCTAACACTACGGGTTGTGAGAACTTTATTATTTTCTATTAGGCAATCATCGTGGGTTTTATTGCAATAAGAACCCTCTTAAACGTCTGACACCATTGGTTTCGTGAGCTTTTCTGTATTCCCTGAGGCTATCATCGCGGTTTTGTTGCAATAAGATCACTCCGAAACGCCTACCGCCAGGAATTTTGCGAGCTTAACTATATTCAGAGAGGATATTACCGCTTGTTTGATATTTCAATATAAATCCTGTAAAAGGCATATCAACATGGGCTCTGTGGAGTTGACACAACCCTCAGTTAAAGGCCTTTTCGAGGGTCTAGATCACAAGTTAGCCGACGGCGATAGCCTCAAGGAATGCAGTAAAGCTGATACATCCCACAGTTAAAGTCTTTTAGGAGGATTTTGATTGCAATAAAACCCACGGTGATAGGCTCAAGGAATACAGTAAACCGTACTCATCCAACGTTGATAGGCCTTTATGAGGGCTCTGATCGAAATATAAACCATTGTGATAGCCTCAACGCCTGCTGTGAAGCCTTTTAGAGTGCTCTGATCGCAATAAAACCCATGGTAGCCTTAATGAATGCAGTAAAGCTGACACAACCGACAGTAAAAGGCCTTTTAGAGGGTTCTGAATGCAACATTACCAATGGTAATAGCCTCATCAAATGCAGTGAATCTGACACAACCAGAGTGAAGGCCTATTAAAGGTTTAAATAACAAAAAAGTTGATGGTGATATCCCCAAGGAATGCAGAAATGCTGACACAACCCACGGTGATGGGCTTTTAGAGGGTTCTGATCGCAATAAAATCCTGTCTGCAATATTTGCAGAATTATGCCCCTTTGGAACTTAGAAATTTTGGTGAAAGGTCTTAAGAACTATCAAAGATATTTTCTGAAACTTTACACATGTATTTAGGGTCATAATTGAAGGTCACATCTCAAGATCCATTACATTGCCATGTATTTTGACTGAATTATGTTCCCTTTTGTTCTAAAAAAATCTCCTTTTCTTGGGTAAGTTTACATGCAAGTTTTGCATATCTCTGAAACTATTAAAGACAAAAGCTTGAAACTTCATATGTATATTTGTGGTCATAAATAATGATCACTGAACAGCACTCATATCTGTGTAATGTATCTAGGCTGATTTTTCTCTTTTTTTTCTAAGTCTCTTGGTTAAAGTGACATTATGCTCATATTTTTATCAGCTGAATTGACTTTATATTTAAAAAGATTAGCTGACAAAATGGTGTTTGACCAACAGTTGATATTTGAAAATGTTTTTGAGTAAAATTATAAATCTGCTTAAAATCTAAAAAGACTGCCCCACTCTTTTTATAAACTAAGAGTTACATGTAAATTCTAATGGATATGTACAGAAATTTCGTTGGGATCTTTGCGTTTTTTATTGTTTATGCGAACTTGATTATTAAATAAAAAGGAATTATGGCAAAATGAAAACTTATTTTGATATCCACCCGTTTACTCATTATATACCCTTGGATGGGCATAATGTCACTTAAATGTATCTTGCATTTAGGCTGATTCATCTCCCCTTTTGAAGTTTATATCTTTATTTTTTTCTATGTATTTAATTACTTTTGAGATATAGCCATGGCATAACTTGTTTTCAATAATGATCTGAGTCTGTATTCCAGAGGAGGTAACTGTGTCAAAAATATTATTTACATTTTAGTAAAGGTATCAAGTTGAAACTTAAAATAACTTTAGTCTTCTCTAAGACTGTTCTAATTGTCCAGCATGCTGTCATCGGACAGCTCTGATTTGCTTATTTCCAAATTTATGCCCCTTTTTATACTCAATGAAACTAATGGTTAACTTTCTGCTTGTAAGCTGGTATCTCCTTAACTACTGAAGGGAATGGAATGAAACTTAACATAGGGCTACATTTTCACTATGATTCTTAACATGATTGGCACAGGTTCCATAACTCTGATTTACTTATTTACATATTTATCCCCATTTTTATACTCAATGAAACATCCTTGTGACAACTCTATCGAATATTGCTGTCCTCCGAAAGCTCTTGTTCAAACAGTTTTGAATCATAAATTATTGTGAAGTTTAAGCTTGCGCTGACAGAGATAAAGAACGAAAATGAAAAAAAACTATTAAAAAAATATTCAAAGAAACATTTAATTAAGAGGAAAACGAACCCTGATTTCGTCAATTTTGTTAATGGATGGACATTGTTTCTGCTATTTTGAAGAGTGGATAATACTTTTGTTACTCCTAAGAACACTATTTGGATTTTTGTTAGGGTTTTACACATACTTGATAAGTAATATGAACTATATATAAAAACAAGCTGAAATGCATTGAAAGAAACATTTAATTGAAAATATTGAAGAGTGGTTAACATTTTTTTCATTTTACTCCACAGAACACTATTAAGAATATGATAACAGCTTTCAACATGTTATATGAATAAAATAATTGTGTTCCATTAATGTTAAAGTGTTAAAGCTGCACGCCTCCAGATGAGCCAAAATATTTCGAGAAAATCAATATTGAGAAAAATGTACTAAAATTGTAAGAAAAGTAAAATTATTCCCGATCCAAGTTATATTTTTCATGTTATGTGTAGTTTAAGACTGATTTTGCTGTATTTTATCACCATATTTCCACTGGATTACTAACGCAGTTAGGACTATTGTTGCATATGTTGACAACTTTTTGGTAATTTTCTTTGATTGTAAGTGAAGACTTCAATATGTAAATTACTTTATTTGTTCAACTCACAATATATTACTTTTAAATACATTTCCAAAGTTTTTGTAAATATTAACATGAATCTGGAGGCGTGCTGCTTTAAGATATCATCTGTTAATTAAAGGCCCATTATGTCTCAGAAATACTACCAATAAAATATATTTCTCTTAAACTTTTAAATTTTGGTATCTTGTTACTGTTTTCAAAGTAATACTACTTTGCCATATACATGGACTATCTTTTGTAACTATAGTTCTGTTAGCAATCGGTATAGTTGTAGCGAATCAGTATTTTGTAATTGGAAGTCCATATACCACTTTGTTTACATTTTGCTATCTTTTGGATGCATAACTGCATGTTCAGTGCTAATTTCTTGAGATGTTTAACATCTAACATACTTCAAAATCCATAATTAAAACATAATTAAACACGTGTTTGACGTTTCTTAAGAATGAAAAATACATTGAATTTCTGAAGCATAATGTGCCTTTAAAAGAAAAATACAGTTGCTGTAAAATGTATATGACATTTCTGTGTAGCATAATCTATCTGAAAATATTCTGCATGTTCAATCATCCATGTTTTATACCTGTATATTTATATATTGTACAAGGAAAATTCTTATATATTTTTGTATCATATGATTATACATAACAAAAAATCATTTTCTACAGCTACTATAACAGTTTTATTATCCTAGATTTTAAATTTTTGTATAGGGGGCATGATTCTTCTTTTCTGTGTGATATGGTGTCTTTGTTTTGTGTCAAACTGATATTTGTTCTATTTTTAAGATATTTGCTTGTCTTTGAGATAGTAATATTGAATACAGGGCTTCTTTTAGAGAAGTATTTATTACCAATAGTCTTTAATGAATTCTTTTAAGGTTGGTGAAAGTTGATTCTACAAACGATTCATCTATTAATTACATTGAAAAAATTATATACATAGCACGATATTTACTGAGAGATATACATAGGACAGATTCTACACAAATGTCTTATCATGAAGTTTAGTTTAATTTTTCAATTCCAAGAGTCATCATTGCAACAGTAGAATTTGACGTCATTAAGAGTAGTGTCATCTGCGCCGTGTTGACAGTCTTCCACTCTAGTCCGAATGCCGCATATTGCAGAGTTTGTTGGACATGTCCTACTCCATCCAGTCATTTCTCCCCATAACCAATGTCCTCGCGTATGTGCAAGTTCGTAGCTAGACTTCACAGAATGCAAAGGTCCACATATGAACTTAATATAGTTCGCAGCCGTGTCGTCCCCACCCTTGCAAATAATATAAAATAAACAAACTATATTTACACTCCTTATCTTAAAAAGATACATAACCCAATTAGTCCTTATTTATTGTATACAATTATATCAGAAGCGAATTCGTTTGGTTATTAAATTATCTTGCTTTGATCGGTCAAAAATGGAAAAGCTTACGTTCTGTCAAAGACTCCAAGCGAAAGCTTTGTTTGTAGTTTTCTTCTTTACATATTTTACTTTAAGCACCGCTCAACCCTGCATTACTTCCACTGTCAGAATTATGGAGCATATGTATACAATGGTGTGCAAATGCATGCGAGATTGAAATAAGACATATTATGAAGAAAGCTACTGATTCTTATTGAAATTAATGTAGTAATAAATGAAACTCACTCCTTGGGATTCTTCTACTTGTAATGCAAACTCTTTTAGAAACACATTATTCGGACACATAAATACCCCAGTCCAGTCTCCATAAGGCCCAGCAGTTGAAGTGATTGTCCCACCAAAGTGTTTACCTTTTAGTGACACACACACAAGTGCAATTGCGTTAAGTGCTGTATCGTCACCACGTCCTTGGCTAGGCTCTATCTAAAATTATGATGGCTATTAAAGTGAAATGCATCAAAATTAATCATATATGATCATTTGATTTACTGTCTTCATACAGTTTGATTATTTCTCCAAAGAAGGTTAATCTGTAACCTAACAATAGCAGTTTATGAGCTTAAGTGCAAAATGTGCCCTAACTTTACTATAGGCGTTCCCATTCCCATACACATAAGTGTAATTTTTCCTTTAGAGTATTTAAAATTACACGTATCTTTTATCGAAATCGAGAAATAGGTGAAAAAAATGAAATCAATAATTTGGGTGTAGATCGACCAACATATTCTACCTTTTTAGGATTTTATCAAGGATTCAAAAAACAAAACGTTAAGCCTTTCTACAGAACCACGAAGTGGCTTGACACGCAATGTTCAATATTAAAATTAAATCTTGTCTGCAACTTGGCGTTTGTCGAAAAATGGAAGGGACCATATTGACTTCCTATTTATGTTTCATCTTAAGTCAGTATATTGTTTCTAAGTTCATTCATTTCTATTATATTCATTTCAAATAGTGTAGAATAATGAGGGTCCTATCAATCAGTTCTTTACAGCGAACCATTGACCACTTCTATAGTCACAAACCGAACTCAACTTTTTTTTATTTGGGTTGAAAATAATTATTTTCCTCATTATTTACATAAAAACGCATTAGAATATTTTTAAGGGACCTAAATGATCGCGTTATACTACATTTTAGCTTTGAATATTATGCATGTATCTTATTATTACTTTAAAACATTTAAGCTTTTCTGTTTGTATTATCGTCATACAGATCATTTTAAAGCACATTTTCCTTGATTATATCCTTAAGTTACACAATGAAACAAAAGAAAAATCACAAAGAAAAAAAATCTTGTTCATAAAGGTAATTATTAACCCCATTTTGTCTCTTATTTTGATAACAATAGGGACACCTTGCTATGTGTTGTATAGTAAATAACCTTTGAACTATTTAAAACATTGTTCATGTTAGACTTCGTGCAATTTCTCTTGCATTGAATACTTGTGCTTGATGTTATTTTCGTAACTATAGATAAAAACAATACTAGTACAATTAAATGATATTTCACCTAAATCCCGGGTCACATAAGTCGCTGGTGAACCTTTGGCCAAAGATAAGCCGAGATACGCCCCTTGTGGCTGTGTAGAATTTTGGAAACTAATGTTTTTTACCATGTCATGTGCTCGATTTCACCACCAGCATATACAATGTGCACTCTTTTTATTTATCTATGCCTTGGCAATAACGTCAATCCGATTTGCTGGATTACTAATTAATTAACATGTTATTCAGAAATTACAAACTAAATGCATACAAATAACAATCAGATTATGAGCATACCTTCATTTCATATCCGGCAGCATATGTACCTTCCGCACAATACTGCACACGACCCCACGTTCCCCATTTAGACCGATATGTGGGTCCAAGACTATCAACAACTGATTTCCTGGGGAGAAAACAATCAACAACTGGAGAAATTACGAGCACACTGACAATTAGTTGAAGAAAATACATAGTCAACAATCCGAATGATATACCATGTAACAAATTAGTATGTCTCTTTGGTAATATCTTTTTATCATCTGAAATGTATAATTAGGTATTAGGTCTTTTCTATACGACATCCCATTCAAGAAGGAGGCGGAGTTACGAAGTCAAATGTTTATGACATCACAGGAAAACAGAATAGAGACTGGCCCGGGAAATCGGCCAGAAGAAATACCATTGAATACCCTGCGAAAATTGGAGAACATGATGGCGTACCTCGGCTTATTTTGAGTGTACGCGGAGTGCAGGTCTTTGGCCGAAGGATCACCAGAGACTTATTCATGAAATATAGCTCTGTGCTATAACTAAGGATTTAAGGGATATCTAAACTGATTTGTCCTTTTAACCTCTGTCTTTATCTATAGTTATAAATAACATCAGGTACATATATTGAATGTTAGAGAAATTGCACCAAGTCTAACGTGTTCATTTAAGCCTATCATAGCCTTCGGCACGATATGGCCAGTTATGTGTTGACAAGCCGTAAAAATCCAAACAAACAAACAAAAAACAAACTAACGTGTTCACTGTTTTAAATAGTTTAAAATATTTACTATTAGAAAAAACAAAACATGGCTAGGTGTCTCTCTTGTAATAAAGATGGGATTTAATTCCTCTTGTTACATCTTTTTTATTTTTCTTTTGTTTCACCATAACTTAACATGAGATATAATCAATGAAAATATGCTTTAAAATGATTTGCATGACTTAAATACAAAAACAAGAGTATAAATGTTCTAGTATACTGAAAAGTTATTGTATTTTCAGCTAAAATGTAGCACTGCACGATCATTTAGCTTCCTTAAAATATCTTTAAATGCGTATGTAGACAATAAATTTTGACTTTAACATTTTTGTTCTCAACTCTAGTCTTGCAATTTCAATTCGAAATATTTATTTTTATTACGCAGTTAAATGCATCACGCACATTAAGCATGTTTATGATAAACAGACTCGCAAACTTGAACAATAGAATAATTCTCTCTAAAAATAGCGTCCCAGTGATATACCCAAGCAATGATTTTTATTTCAATTTGCTCAAATATGTGCTTACTCCCTTTTCTCATAATTGAATTTTTGATTGTGTATAAACGCATACTCGATAACATCCTAAGCATACATATATAATCAATTAGCTGCTACGAATATGTTGATCGATCTGCGCCAAAATCATTGATTTCATTTTTTGATTTTTTTAAACTCTTTTTTTCCTTTTTATACTCCCGTGCGTATTGGCGTATAGGTAGGTAGGTAGGTAGGTAGGTATGCCACAGAAGTCTGACTGTCATCAACTTTCAACTTGAAATAGAAACTAATTCTTTTTTCGTGAAAGAGAAGACTGTCACTTAGCTTAGATTACCCGGAATGTTTCATTTTTAATAAATGGATACAGTATGTTTACCCACTAGGCTTTACACCCAGCACAAAATTTCCAAATTTTCAACTCTCATCAATGCAATATCAATTAAAATATACAAGAGGGCCATGATGGCCCTGAGTAGCTCACCAGAAGCAACTGTTTTTCAGTGCTAGAAATTATTTTTTAAATGAACTTGCTGAAAGGCCAGTCCAGCTCAACCTTAACTTGCCTGTCTAGTTATATACTTTCACAACACTGATTGTGTTTTCTTTCCTTTTTCTTCAAAATTAACAATCTGGCCAAGATGGCCCTAGATCATTTATCGGACCCATCATTTCTTTGTTCACTATATAAATTGGAATATTTTGTCCTTATATTTTGGAAAGGCTTTGTTATAAGTGCGTTCCCATAAAACTATGTAGAATAAATGCAGAATTAATGACTATAGCAGGCTTAATTTTGATGGGAAAATTTTCCATAACTTTTGTGAATGAAAACACAAAATGGCACATGAAAAATATGTGAGGTGTAGATGCTTGAAGTTAACAGTTTGGGACAACAATTTTTTATACATCTTATATGGTAACATAACTGTACTTCAAAAAATAACAATAGGTCAAACAAGGTAAAAGTATCAAAAGAAGGCCAGACTGATATCAAAATTCAATTCAGTATCAGAAGTTACATCCTGAGTCCAAATTTCAAGTCTGTATGTCAAAAATAAAAAGTAGGTCAAATGATATCAAAATTCAATTTGGCATCATAAGTTACACCCATGGTACAAATTTCAAGTCTGTATGTCACAAAAACAAAAAGGTAGGTCAAGCGATATCCAAAATATCAAAGTAAGTCAGCTGATATCAAAATTCCATTTGGCATCAGAAATTACACCCATGGTTCAAAGTTCAAGTCTGTACATAAAAAATATAAAAAAATAGGTCAAGCAATATCAAAAACACCGGAAACAAGGTCAAACGATATCATTAATATCAAAAGTAATCAGTTTCTATCTTAATTCAATATGCATCAGAAATTACATTCCTGGTCAAAATTTCAAGTCTGTACATCAAAAACAAGAAAATAAATGAAATCTTTCAAAAATATCAATAACAGCTCAATTGATACCAAAACTCAATTATGCACATGAAACATCAGGTTCAACAGTGTGCCCCAGATTTTATTGCAATTTGTTTTCGCAACAAATGTAATCTTTCCTTTGGCCTTATTCTATTTCATGTGGGAGAATTCTCTACACTGACCTACAAGTGAAAAGAAAGATTAATAGAATGATGCATCCAATAGGTGTCCGAATTCTAGAGCTGAAAGTTATTTGATTATTTTATTTTATTCTTACCTAGCTAACAGTATTGCATACACAACACTAAATTGTTTTACTGTGCAACTGAACCTTGCCATAGTGCATGTCTAGTGAGTTTTGGTTTAAGCAAGTCAAATGAAAAACAATGTGCAAATATGTTTTCTGCACATTCAATCAGAGATGTTTTATTTCCGATCCTTAAAGATCGCTCAGCACGACATTTTTGTTGTGCTTGTGGTTATTGAGTTCTTTCTATAAGGCTATTTTCTTGTTGGGTGGTTCCAGTATTACTCACATGAATACTGTTGAATATGTGGATATGTGGCCTGCTTTTTAAATTTGTCTTTTGACGTCTTATATGTGATATGCAGGCTTCGTAACCTCCGATCCCCTTTCAAAATTCCATTTTATTTAGTTCCATCCATTGTTTTCTCGTTTTGGGCACGAGCATATTTTACTTCGGGACCATATGCCGCTTTTCATGGAATGGCACTTACGTGTCACATTGAACGTTCCATGATAACAGCCATATGAACACATCAGCGGATGTTTCAAAATTCAAAACTGTACCAGTTCATGTTAAATGTTGAATTCTGCATAAGCCGGTGCTAGGCGGCTTGGACGTTTAAATTTTGCACTTGACAGTACCGTCCATGAACAGGCTCAATCAAACCGAGCCTGCAACATTTTCAATTGTTGTGTTGGGCTTTCTTTAGGGATTCTTATTTTCTCTATTACTGGAGCGAAAGCAATCGGATAATGTTTTTAATTCCTGTAGAACAGCTACGGATGAATACTTACGTGATTAGTATCAAATTTTATTTGGTTTTGTCCATATTTACTTTATTACGTCACTATATATCTATTTTTATGAAAGCGGTTCTATGACACACTTTAATAAAAAAAAGGCTAGTATGAACAGATTTTGAAAAATAGTATCAACTTTTTTTTCTTCTAAGAAAATTAACACACACGCGTTTTAAGAAATGCAGCTTTTTCATAGAATGACAAATAAAGGTGGACATGTATGAAAAACATTCCAACATGAGTTGTTTCCCTTTTATTAAACTATTATTTAAAGAAATGCCATGGTCTGGGGTATTCTAATTTAGCGGCCCCTAAAAAGGGCTAATCAAATAAATCTAAGCAAATTTGATAAAAGACTACCTAAGAATGCTACAAACAAAATTTAGTGGTCTTCCATCAATAAGTTCTCAGCAGAAGCTGTCTAAAGGTTTATTTTATTTTATGCTCTATTGAACACTAAATGGGGCCAATCATATTAAAATGAGCAAATTTGATAAAAGACTACATAAGAATGCTACGGTCAAAAGTTAGTAATCATCCATCAATAAGTTTTGTAGAAGAAGCTGTCTAAAGGGTTTTCTATTTTTTTAGGTCTCTTGACCACGAAAGGCCGCCAATCAAATTAATATGAGCAAATTTGATAAAAAAATACCAAAGAATGCTACACACAAAGTTTGGTGATTAACCATGAATTAGTTCTTTCTAAAGAAGATGTCTAAAGGGTTTTCGATATTTAGGTCTAGAGACCCCTAAAAGGGGCCAATCAACTTGATATGAGCAAATAAGATAAAAGAATACCCAAGAATGCTACATTCAAAGTTTGGTGATCATCCATCAAGCTCTGTTAAAGAAGATGTCTATAGGTTTTTCTATTTTTAGGTCTAGAGACCCCTAAAAGTGGCCAATCAAATTTATATGAGCAAATTTGATAAAAGACAAACTAAGAATACTACAGACAAAGTTTGGTGATCATCCATCAATTAGTTCTATAGAAGAGTATGCCTCAAGGTTTTTCTTTTTTTAACTCTCTTGATCCCTAAAGGGACCAATTGAAATGATATGAGCAAATACAGATGTGACTGTCACAAGGATGCCACAGACCAAGTTTGTAGTAAATCTGTCCAGGGATTCAGAGAAGATGATTGTTGACTTATGACGACGGACGCCGGACCATCACCCTTTGATACTTATAGCTCACCCTGAACTTTCGATTCTGGTGAGCTAATAAAACAACTTTACATATAGGATGGAAAGTGATATTAATTGAAACAGTGCAAAATTACTTTTAACAAATGAAAACCACATTTGTAAAATGAAATTCTAAATAGAAATAAATGAAACTGATACTAAAGTAGCATAGCATAATAAGAAAATTCAATAAAAAATTAGCATGTTAGTAAGGTATAGAAAACAAATGTAATCTTTTTTAGGCTTTATTTTATTTCCTGTTTCTGACCTACAAATGACCCTGCAGAAAGATTTATAGTATTATGCAATTATAACACAAACCAAATATGAATTTAATTTTACCATTGCTTTTGTGAACATTAAAAAGTTCCAGA